TTCCTGCATGCCCCGCACTGGGGATTGAGCCAGAGTCAGGTCACGTGCCCTGACCGGGAACTGAACATGACCTCCTGGTTCATAGGTGGACTCTCAACCACTGAGCCATGATGGCCAGGCTGGTTTGTCACTTTTAATTTTATGTTTGATTTTCCTTCATGGAGGTTATAATGTCACATTTAACAACTTATATCAACACTAGATATCTCTTGGTGTTACATTTTGTAAATATTTTCTAATTTATTTAAAACATAGACACCTTCAGTAGTTAATAGTAGGGATAGCAATTCTGGCAAGAGTTAACTGTTAAGACTGCAATATCTCTTACCAAACATTTCTATAATTCCTGTTTCAATCTACATAGGAGGAAGATAATAATATGATTACTTTAGAAAAAGAAAGCTTTAATGTAAACACACATTCACAAAGTCAATAGTTCAAGGTATGTCATGATAATGAGTTGCAATGTGCATGTATACCTCTATAATTTTGTATAGATTCTTGGTCAATGTAATGTTCATGAATGGTGCTATTTCCTATCATATTTTTTAAAAAATACTGAATCCCCATAGACACAAATGTTCACACAGATGGCCATTTTCTTTTTTTATACCTATGATACTCATCTTATAGGTAAGATCGAGTTGATATTTCTCCATCTGAACAACCAGAGTGCAAAAACTTGACATATTCAGAAAATGTATTATTCAGTTTGCCCTTCCAATCTTAAGCCCTCAGCTCTTTACCTCCTCAGAAAGAAATAAGGGCCAGTGATTTTCTGAGGTCTGGCACTAACAGCCTTGCCTCTGTCGAAACTTCTTTCTTATTTTATCTTCTCTTTCACACCTAAATAAGCTGAAAAGGCAATTGAAGCATACAATCAGATAAGACTTCATTCTCACCGGCAAAATTGCTGGGGAAATGAAAAAAGAAATCTTCTGCTTAATAAATAACCCAGAAACCAGCCATCTACTATACCAATGGGGGCAGCTGAGCTGATGATTTTCTCCATATTCTTGATGGTTGGCGTCAGTGAGTCTAATGATTACTGTGTAATGTCTTTGCAGATTTCAAACCTTTACATCTATGACACGGTGCTTCTGCTTGCTAATGCTTTCCATAAGAAGCTGGAGGACCGGAAGTGGCACAGCATGGCGAGCTTGTCATGCATCAGGAAGAACTCCAAGCCCTGGCAGGGGGGGCGGTCCATGCTGGAAACCATCAAGAAGGTAACTTTGAATAGCATTTCACTCCTGACTTTCCATAAAGAGGATACAATAGATCATATTTTGAAGAGATATCTTTTAGAAGGATCCCCGCCCACCAATATTGCCCCCCAATACTGCTGCCAATTGAAAGCATAAAGCAGTGTATTGGAGAAATGAAATATTAAAAATAAAAGGGCAGAAATTTGCACACATATACAAAACAGGGGGCCTTTATTTATTTGCAAGGGCATTTTACTTAGGTAAAAAGTTAGTGGTTGAAATATTTTAAACTGCTTTGGTTATATTATTAGAGTTAGAGGTGCTTAAATTGGTTTGGTGCCTGTCACAAAATACAAAAAGCTTTTTTCTTTAAACTGATTTAAAAAAAAAAAAGAGCTATAGAGTTAGCTGTTTCTACCATTTAGCTGATACATGTGAGACATTGGATGGTCCTTATGTTATAATGAGGGTGTGATTCATAAACGGTTAATATTACGCAGCATCTGTGACTATTTGATACTCGATGGCATTCTTCTTCACTGTCCGTGTGGTGTTTAGCCTGGCTGTGACCTGTTTCGCCTTAGCTACCTGTTCCTTTCCAGGGAGGCGGTTTATCCCGCTCAGCCTCTCTCAGCGGTATAAGCATTCTGCAGTTTATTAGCCTCTTTGTCATGTCATCCTTGCTGGCATTTTCCATTTGTCTTGCACAGCTTCTTGGATTTAAAATGAAATGATTAATAAAACAAACAAATTTCTCCTGTACCCTTTACACAAAGGAGACAGACATTTGAATGTTTATGTTCTTTATTTTTCCAATCCTTTTTCTTTTGGCATATGTTTGCCTTTCTCTCCTGAAGCAAAAAGAGAAATAGCTAGTCAAATGAAACATGAATGCATTTAGAAAATCCAAAGAAAAGTCTCAAAATTTAGTAGTGGAAGTGAACTAGAAGTACAAAAACCAAGAAATGGAAGAAAGAAATGTTTCAAATGGAGGCTAGCCTATACCTTTCTCTTAGTAGTGCTTCCTTTTATAAAATGTATTTATTTTTAAAATTTTTTATTTAGTTGAGAGAGAGAGGAGGGAGGAAGGGATAAAGAGGGAGAAATATTGATGTGAGAGTGAAACATCTATCGGCTGCCTTCTGCACACCCCCTACAGGCATCTGTCCTGACCGGGAATTGAACCGGTGATCTCTTGGGTTCATGGATTGATGCTCAACCATTGAGCCACACCAGCCAGGCATGTACTGCTTCCTTTTTGCAAAAGAATCCCTTTCATGGGAATTTGGGTTCTTATCAACAGAAGTATTTGAAAATTAAATGTATTGAATATATTAGCAAATAAATATTTTTCAATTGGAAATAGGTAAGTCAAATTTAAACTCAAGGTGTATGGTCTATCTATGTGGCGAATAGACAGGTATGGATCCAAGGGAGGTTGTTGAACATGATTGTGAACCTACTAATTTATTAATTCGTACTTTGGCTGAAATGCAGAGCTTGAATATATTAATTTTCCTGAAGCTGTCTCATAAAGACAGAATAATAGTCCAGGGTGTTGCTTAGGCGACACTTACGTAGTGAGAATATCAACAGGGGGGAAACAAAGACACCGCTAAATGTAGCTTTTTCTCCTGGAGCAATTCAATATGTAAACTGTTGCTGTTACAAAATTTATAATCAAAACAATGATGTAATATAATAACTATGAAACTCCATTTTGGAGGAATATTTGCATATTTGTCCCTGTAAGCTCTTAGTGACACTTTTTAAAGCAATATATCTGTTCTATGTATTTAGAAACTAAGTTTAAATTATATAAATGATTGCAAATTTTCAATTTCTTATTTTTTGTTTCATGTTTTAAGATAACCTTAAAATTATGATCTTCCCCCCACCTCCCCAGTCATATTGCTTTCCTTCCTATGGGTATTTCGGTTATCTCATTCAGATACCGAGGCAGATAATACTCCACACAAAGAGAATTTGAGAGAAAATGTTCCACTCACACAGGAACTCCTGGAGAGAGCAGAGTGCACCCCAGCAGGTTCAGTCTGGCTTGGGCCGAGCAGAGGGAATGGGCTGGGCCTTTGTAGTGGTTAGGGATTGGAGCTGGAAACAGTTCCCATTTACTTGGTCTGGAGATTTGTGTGGCTTAACATTCCCATGGGTGTGAAAGAAGGAGGTACAGGATGACTATATATATATTGATTTCAGAGCAGAAGGGAGAGGAAAGAGACATAGAAACATCAGTGATGAGCGAGAATCATTGATTGGCTGCCTCCTTCATAACCCCCTGTGGATGGAGCCTGCCACCTGGACATGTGCCCTGACTGGGAATCAAACCATCGTGACCTCCTGGTTTATAGGTCTACTCTCAACCATGAAGCCATGCTGGCCAGGCAGTATGGACTTTTTAAAAAAATTCTTTATTGTTAAAAGTATTTACATGAGTCTCCTTTTTCCCCCCATTGACCTCTCTCCCACCACCCTCTCCCCCAAGCACAAACCCTCACCACCACCCACCCCCCCACTGTCTGTGTCCATTGGTTTTGCTCATATGCATGCATACAAGTCCTTTTGTTGATCTCTTAGCCCCTCACCCCCCACTTTCCCTCATAGGTTGTTGGATAGTCTGTTCAATGCTTCTATGTCTCTGGTTCTATTTTTGTTCATCAGTTTATGTTCATTATATTCCACAAATGAGTGGGATCATGTGATATTTATCTTTCTCTGACTGGCTTATTTTGCTTAGCATAATGCTCTCTAGTTAGGATGGACCTTTTTAATCAGCCTGCCCACAAGTGGAGCCAAAGGGGAAAGGGCGGGCAAAGCTTCAAGAGAAGTCAGCACCAAACATCACAAATGTGGTCAGGCTCTTTATTGCAATGGGAATATTCTAGTGATAAAATTCTTAATTACATTCAAGTAACCACTGAATGCCTACCTTAGGGCATGCCCTATACACTGTACAAAGCCTGTGTCCTGCTGCAAGGAGATGAAGAAGCTAAAGAACAAATCTGTCCTTGAATTACTTATATTCTAATTAGGAAGGTGAGGCAAAAGACTTAAAAAGCACTGCAGTTGACATAAACACTATAAATGTCCAACGAAGGTGGAGGTGATGAAACTTTATAATTTCTTTTTTGTGTTGAAACTTTATAATTTATCTTTTGAATTGATAGAATAGATGCTTCCACATTTCTTTTCTTTCTTTCAAAAATTAGAGGCTAATCTAATTCTTAAGTGTGTATTTCTTCCAGATAACATCAGAACTCCCCAAGCCATTGCTATTTATATGGATTTCATAGAATATTTTTGAGAGAATTAATAATTTTTAAAATATTGAATATTCACATCCATGAACATAGTATATATTTATATAGTCATCTTTAAAGCCCTCAGAAAAGATTTATAGTTTCTTCATACATATTTCATTGTATTTACTCATATACTTTTATAGAGTTTTGTGTATATTTGTCAGTGTGTGAGCATGTGTGTATGCACACTGTCATGAATTATTTTATTGTATTATATTTTTAATTAGTGATTATAGGTACATAAGGAAGTTATTGATGTTTGATATATTTTTTGAATGACCTCATTAATTCTGAAACTTAAATCTTAATATTCTTTCTTTGGAGTTTATTCTCTTTCATTTTTCATATAGATATTGATATATCAAAATTATCACTTAATTATAATACTTTATATTGTTGTAAAACTTTAAAAAACTTCACTTGGGACATCTTGGAGCACGTCCGACCAGGTATATACTCTAGAGCCCTGTGTGCTTTGGAGGCGATCACCTTTCCTCCCTCCAAGGGAGGATGTCGGACAATCTGCACATCAGAGACACAGAGGTGCGGACTCTCCCTCCACACGAGAGCTTCAGCCGGTGCTGACCTGGCCTGGAGCTGACCTGCCAATCCTGCCACATAGGACACACTACTTTACAGCTCTCCTCTAATGCATACTTTCCTATTTCTCCTGAATTTGATGTTAGTTCACCACTGACACATGGTATTCCTAGCTCTTAGTAGAGGGCACTCCATGCAGCAGTATTAGGGACACGCCCTTCAGGCCAAGGTCTCACCTGGCTGGGGTCTGCTGATGGATTTTCAATGGGGGCCAGCAAGGCCACAAAACTTGTGATTTGTAGAACAGGTATAAATATGTCAACATGCAAAGAAAATTTTCAGAAATTTCTTCATCTTTTTATTGACCCTCTGGCTAAAGAAGAAGAATGTGTTTCCATAGATGTTGTTAAACCTCTGTACATGTAGCTACTTGAGAATTTTAATATTATTGAGGATCTATTTTTAAATGTAGGCTATGAACACATAAAATCATTTAATAGAAATCTCTAGAGACAGTTCATCTGCTAACCACAGGAAGTTACCCCAACTTTTAAAAATCCTGTCAATGAGATCTTCTTTGATAGTGAACCTGACCGAGTCTTAGAAGATCTGATTCAAATAGGGCCATTCAGTGTGCTGAAGACTAAGAATATGAGAAACCTGAATCCAGAAGACATGGACCAGCTCATCACCATCGGTGGCATGGTGATCAGGATGTCTCAGCTGATTTCAGAGAGGCAAGGAGCCTTCTTCTAGTGCCAGGTGTGCACCCACACTGCCCTGGAAGAAACGGACCGTGGCTGAATCGCTGAATCCTGCCTGTGTGAATGCTGCTGCACCACCTACAACATGGCACTGGCCTACAGCTGCTTCGTGTTCCCGTTAAGCAAAAACTCAAACTTTGAGTCTCCTGAAAATGTGCCTGCAGGACAGATGATCACACTGTCATCCTTTCGCTCACAATGATCTTGTTGACAAAGTTCAACTCGGAGACAGAGTGAACTTTATGGGCATCTATTGATCTGCTGCTAGTGAGGCAGTCCCAGGGTGAGTAATGAGAAGTCTTCTACGAGACCCACATTGATGTAATTATTACAAAGTGGATGTAAAACATCTTTATGAAGAAGCAGAACAGAAACTTTTTTGGAGCAGTATGTGGAA